GGCCCCGGGTGCCACCGAGGTGGGAGCCGGGGAGCGGTGGTGGTCGGGGGGGGACAGAGGTTGCTCCCCCCTCACTCGCACCGTCCTCCCTCGGAGGGGAGCGCTCGCTCCGCGGTGCAAGGAGCCATCATCTCACCGAGATCTACCTGCATATCCCAGAGTGGCGAGAAACACCATTTGTGAAAGTATTTGCTGTCCGTGTCCCTTTTGGCCAGGGAGCCATCCGCAGACCGACAGCAACTCCCTCGCATCCCGCCATTTGCCGACATCGTTAAGCCAAAATATACATAATTTTCAAGTGAAGCCCCGTGGAAATCCCATCCTTTGCTTGCCCAAATATTTGCTTTCTGTGAGTACCTCCATCGACCCCACCGACCCCCCCCCCCTGCCAGGTGCTCTGGGGGGTGGGCAAACATGCAGCAGATCCTCTGTGGGCTGGGCTGTGTTACCCCCACCCCACAGCCCCCCCCAGGAGACTGTGGAGGGGACACAGCAGCCACAACCCTCCCTGTGCCACCACGTCCCACAGCGAGACCCAGCCTTCACCTTGCTGTCCCCCAGGAGCAGAACCCCCCACCCAAGGGACAGGTTGAGGGGCTGTGGGGTGGGGGGAGGCCCCCAGGGCTCTGCCCCAGCCTCGGGGCCATGCTCAGAAATCTTCCTTAGTGTCCAAAAACCTCAGCGGAGAGTCCTGCACCGCTGTCCTCAGTGTCACCCGCGGCCCCGCGCACCAACTGGCAGCTGCTTCCGTCCGGTCATTTGGAGACAGAAATTGAGCAGCAAGAAGAAAAAAATTAACCCGTGCGGGGAAAAAACCCTGTTCCAGGCTCAGAGGAACCCAGAGGGGACCCTCTGCAGCAGAACCACGTGCTGAAGAGGAGAAAAGACAGGGGAGGGGAGATGAGGAGGAGAGGGAGTCCCACCCGAGAGGAGTTTTTGGGCTCTGAGAGGTGCCCCCCCCCACTCAGGAAGCCCCTGGCTGACCCGCACGCCCTGGTGGCTTCTGTGGGGCAGAGGAAATCCTTCCCACAGCGCCATGGAAGAGGAGGTGGCCTTGGAGCAGCTCCAGCAGCTGCCAGCCCTCATGGTAGCCCCATGGAGGTCTCTGCCACCACCTCCCAACCAAGGCTGTGAGGGGGCACGGGGGACCTGGCCCCTCGCCAAGGGGGTGCTGAGGGCTGGTACGTGGGGCAGAGGGGTGCCCCAGCGCCCCACTGCGTGTGGGAGGGGGTGGCTGGGGCTCCACTCGGGGACACCGTGCTGTGGATGCTCCGATCCACAGATGCTTGCCAGCAGGAGGAAGGCCCTCACGGCAGGTTGCACCCGGGGGCAGTCACACCACGGGAGGGCAGCCAGGGGTCTCCGAGCCACCGCGGGGGGAGGCAGGAGCTGGGAGAGCCCTCGCACCCCACGCTGGGGCAGGGAGGTCACAGATGGCCCTGCGGCAGCCGAGCATCAACCACCTCCAGCTCCTACGGCTGCAGGGCTCGGGCCATGCCAGGGACCCCCGGGAGGACATCAGACAGCAAGATGGAGCTGCTCCAGGACCTGCTCAAGAAGCCCCGGGTGCTCTCCCAGCAAGGCAAGGAGCAGAGAAAACGGTGTGCAGTCACGGGTACCGCATCCAGAGCCACAAACTGCCCCCAGCCCAATCTTCATGCCTCGTCCCAGCGCAGAGCCACCGAAAAACCCAGTTCAGAGAGGACTCGGGAGGGTCCCCGGGGATGAAGCCCACGACCCTGACCACCACCGGTGGGGAGCGGGGCTGCAGCAGGGCTGTGGTGAGGGTCTGCTCCCACTCCAGCCTCCCCCACGCGCCCGCGGGTCTCAACGCTTGCTACTCTCCACAAGGAAAGCCCCTCGTCCTAGGTCCATTCCCCCAAATCCACCAGGAAAAAAAAAAAAAAAAAGGAAAAAAAAAAAGCAACAAGTGACAGCCTCACAGGGATGCAACGGACATCTGGGCAAGCTGGTCATACAATCAGTGTCACAGGGTTGTGCATGAGGCGGACACACAGAGCACAGGAGGGCATGACTCACAGACGCAGCACTGTCAAGTCTTTGGAGAAACTTGCATGAACACCATCAGTTAATTTGCTTTGTTACTTTTGTGGGGGGGTTTGATTTTTATTTCCATGGTGCATCCAAAGACAAGTTGTCCAGCAGTTTGCTCAGAACCCCTCGGTTTTCAACTCCTAGGATATGTTAAAGAAGAAAGCACTATTTTAATGTTTGTTTTCTTTAAAAAAATAATTAAAATAATTTGCATAGCTAAACTGTTGATCTAAGGCTTCTATGAATGGTGTGGTTATGTTTGACAGACAATGTCCATTAAACAGAGAAAGACACTAGGAAAGCCCCATAACATTTCTTTTATTATGTTTTTGTAACACACGCGTGCATACACACCCCCCGCTCTCTCTCTCGGGAAGGGAGGTCCCCATCTTCCAGCGCTCCTTTGATGGAGGATGTCAGGACATCCTGCCCTTTCCTACACCCAGTTGGTCCCAGCAAACACCAGCGACCGCAGCCTCCCTCACCAAGGAAGACCCCTACAAGCTACCACTGCTCCAAGGGACACCCTGTACAGGCGAGCGCATCTCCTGCCTGGTGACACCCAGATGCGACACGGAGGTTCCTGGATTTCAAGTCTCCATCATAAAGCCTTCACACACACACACACACCACAGACACACAAAGTCACACACACCAAGTCCAGCTGCACTTGGGTGGCCCAACCTCTCCTTAGGAGCCCTGGCACCGAGGCGAGCAGCCAGAGTGTTTGCTGTTGGGGCTAAGGCGATTCCCTGGCAGAAGCTCGTCCATCCCAGCCCTACACGCCTCTACGCTCTCCTCCTCACTGGGAATGAGCACAAGAGGCTTCCACACGTGCTCCTCCACCTACCCCAACGTGACAAGAGGGCTCCATCCTCCCTGTGGCTGCCGCAGAACCCCCCGAGCAGCTCCTCCCTGCTCTGGCATGATCCCCCCCGTGGGGCACGTCCAACCCACACCACACAGGTCAGCTATAGGCAACCTCCATGGCTGGCCCTGCCCCTAGGCTATGGGCTATGCTTTTGTCAGCCAGCTGCTTCTCCCCACACAGACAACCCAACAAGCAACCACTGCATGATGGAGGCCAGCATTTTATTTTCTTTTTTTTTTTTAATATGGAAATTAATTTAAAAGTAGAAAGAGAGAGTCCCCCAAACAATAAATATTATGCCTTCATGAAATAAATTAAGGTAGAGATTCTGTGCAGGGGGGAAGTCGCTCCAATCACAGATTCAACAGCAACTGGCACTGGGTCCAGTGTCCCCTCCCAACCTGGCGCTGTTGGGAAGCAGCAGCAAGCCCACCTACCCCTGGCTCTGGTGGGCCACGGCAGGGTGAGATGTGGCCTTCACACAGCCTGGCAGGGCCAGGGAGCCGGGGAAGTCACCAGGACTCCCCTCCAACGGCCGCCGAGATAGATGTCTGGGATTGCTCCACTCCCCTGGCACACAGAGCTGGCATCGGAACCACAGGACCAACCTACCTTGGACGGGACTCTCCAGCAGTGCCCGGGGAGCCCCCTGCCAGTGCCCTGCCCTCCTGGCCACCGCAGGAGCCTGCCTGGAGCCCTCACACTAGTTTCACGTGAATTTGAAGAGGATGACAAACTGTTTGTGGGGTGTTT